CCCCGCTGTGCTGCGACCCATAGGGCAGCTAGGTGCCCCCGCCACCACTGCGGAGCTAGAGGGGGACCCTTGAGCCCCCAGGTGCCCCACGCTCGCCACAAAGCGGCCACCAGCTTTCTCTGGCAGCAGGAAGCGGAGGGGAGCAAGGCGATTAAAGGAGCCAATAACCCATGTTTACTCTGCGGGCCGAAGCCGGTGAATCCGACTGCCTTATCGCGGCAGCGCGAGGGCAAAGGGTAACGCGGGGCCTCATAAACCAGGCACTGCTGGCTCTGGAGATGGCCCCCCCACCCGGGGAGCCGGGGCAGCCACGTCCTGGGTGGGCGCCTGCTGCCACCAGCCGCTCCAGCACCCCGAGCTCACGGGCAGGGCCCCGAGGAAGCCACCTCAGCACAGGTCTGCAGCCACCTGCCCCCAGGGCAGACCCACGCTGAAGAGCAGGTCTGCCCTGGGAGCCCAGGGACTGGAGGGGCGAGCAGCCTTCCTCCCTGTCCTCCTCCTCCTGCTCCAGGGCAGACAGCGGCCATGGCAGCCGCAGCCCTTGGAGCTGTTGTTACCAGGGCCCGGCTGAGGCATTTCCCCCCTCGTGGCTGCAGCTTCACTCTTTGTCAGCCTCAAAAAAGCGCCAGGGAACAGGTGGCAACACCAGCCTGGAGCACCCTGGCCCCACAAGGGTGCACCATGAAACAGGGAGCCCCACAGGCACCCAGCACTACTGCCCAGCATGAGGCCCCTCCACCTCCTCAGGTCCCAGCACCCACCCGGGTTCAGCGGCACCTCTGCGCAGGGCCAGGGCCACAGCATGGACAGGAATGAGCGGGGTCCAAGGTCCGAAGAGCCAGGGAGCAAGAGAGGAGCCGGGAGCTGCCCTGGGCTGAGGGTGATGGATCACAGGTCCAACGGGGACAAACATCAGGGAACAACAAAAGCCGCATCCATCTTCTCTCAGGCAAACACGGACACCCTTATCTACAGCAAAGCCCTTGGGGGGCTGGGCAGCCCTGGTGCTGCCATGAGGCACAGGGAGGGGGATCCAGCTCTGCTGGCATCAATGGTGGGGCTGGGACCTGCAGTGCCTGAGTAGGAGCCCAGAGCAGCAGCAGCCACGGGCAAAAGAAAGGCCAGAGCACAGTGAAAGTACAAACAGGTTTATTCCAGCACAGGAGTAGAAGACCTTGGAGAAGCCCTCGAGGCTACAGGGAGCCAGGGTGGGCCCTAGAGGAGGGTGCAGAGCTGGAGCCAGCCCATGGTGGGAACCATGAGCTCCCTCCCCAGAGCAAGTGCCAGACCTGGGGCTGCGGCTGCACAGGAGGTGGCACCAGCCCTGCAGGAGGGACAGGGAGGAGACGGTCCTGTCCGGGCCCTGCCAGGGCGAGACCGCTGCCCCCGCCAGGCACCTGGGCTGCTGCCGGCGGAGCAGGGCAGGGGCACCGGCCTCAGCTTCTGCCAGGAGCCCTGGCCAGCTCCCGGGCTTAGGGCACAAGGCAAGGGTGGCAGGGCCTGGCTCCGGTGAAGGGCTCAGCTACAGCCACCAAGCTCAGCCAGGCTTCACATTTGACAACCTAAACAGTGCTGGAAGGGACACAGGCAAGAAGAGCTGGGGCTCCGCGGGCAGCAGGCACAGACTGGGACTGCCACAGAGAGAGCAGCTCTCCTGTCCCTGGGCCGACAGCAGGGCCGGGCCCTCTCCCCATCGCACGAGCTCTGGGGCAGGGGGGCCAAGAGCAAGCAGAGGCAGCAGCTGCTGTGGCAGGGGAGCCCTTTTAATGCACAGCAGAGCAGGGCACAGTGCCCTCCCTCCAGCCCCAGGGCAGAGCCGGGCCTGGCCAAACCCACAGCAGGAAAAGGAGAGCAGGGCCCTGCTCTGACAGGGGATCCCCAGGAGCCCCATCACCTCCCCCCCTCTCTGTCCCTTGCCTCAAGGTGGTACCAGGCGGTGGCTGAAAGTGCCCAGGGAGGGCTGGGGTCCCAAAGTGAGGAGTGGAAGAGGTGATGCCAAAGGTGCCCGTGACAGAGAGATAGTGACCAGCTCAGCAGGGCCCTTCAGCTGCCCCAGGGCACACTCCAGCCTTGACCTAACTTTTGACACAGCCTCTACAGGGAGCTAAGGGAGGCAGCAGTGTATTTTGATCCCTCAAGGAAGTAGAGGAAGGGTAAAGAAGGATGCCCGGAGAAGAGAAGCCATTAAAAATAAAAATGTGGCTACACACAGGACAGCCAAGGCCACATGGCCATGCTGGTGCTCCAGGCACCACGATGGCTGCGCTGGCCAGCCCAGGCCTCTCCTCGCCTCCAGCAAAATAAGGGTCCTGCTCTCAGAGTGTCTGGGGAGCAGCACATGGCTCTGTGGGCAGCAGCACCTCCCGTCACGTCTGTGCCAGCGAGAGCTCCTCCAGTCCTTCCTTCCCCAGCCGGTACCTGGCGAGATCCTTGCGGGTGACCATGCCCACCACCTGCAGGGAGATGGGACAACATAAGGTCCCACCACAGCAATGGGGAGAGCCCGGGGACACCAGCAGCGCCCCCACCAGGGGCCCAGGCTGCCGAGGGAGGAGAGGTACCAACGGCCCCAGGGACTCACCTCATTGCGATTGTCCACGACCACCAAGTGCCGCAAGCCCAGGGCCCGGAACAGCTTGAACACCCTCGGCAGCGAGGCCTCCTGCAAGAGAGCGGGGCCACGTGGGCTGCGACGTCCCGGGCGCTGTGCGCTGGACTGCGCGGGGAGGCCCGAGCCCAGCTGGAGCTCATGGGGAGGGGGCCCAGGCTGGGCATTACCTGGGGCACAGTGTAGGGCGAGGGGTTCATGAACTCGCTCAGGTCGATCATGCACTCGCGCTCATCTTGGGAGACGTGGATCGACTGGATGGGGGGAAAGCGGGGGTAGGCGTCCCGGAAATCCTTCAGCTTCAAGCGCCGCTGCACCAGGTTCAGGTTGGTCCTTTCCACAAAAACCTGGGGAAGAAAGAAACCACTGGGAGAGGCAGCCTTGCCAGCCACCTGCAGCAGGCCCCAACCCCACCAAGCTGATGACAACGTGGGCCCCACGGAGTGGGATAACTCACACCAGGGCAGTGTCCAGAGCACAGAGAGGTGGCAGGGACATGGGCAGACCTAAGTGGCCAAAGAGGAACTGCCCATTTCAGTAGACGATCCCTGGAAGTCCCTTCCAACCTTAACCACTCTGTGATTCTGTAATTCTGTTTCCTGTTAACTTGGGGCCTTGCCAGCTCAAACAGGGTGCAGAGAGGCTGCCGGGCAAGCCTGATAGCTCATGTCAACTTGCCCACAGGCTGCACAACAGTCATTATCCAAACAAGGACCCTGGCTCAGCCACAGGTATCTGAGAGACACAGCCAGGACTGGCCGCCAGCGCCTTGAAACCAGGCAAAACCAGGTCTGGAGCAGCCAACGGGGCGTGTACCCTGCCACAACGCAGCCAGCCCAGCAGCTGCTTCCTCTGGAGTCACCTACCTTGTGCTTCAGCAGAACGATGAGCTGCGAGCGCAGGATCAAACCCCGCAGTCCTGCCACCTGCACCAGAGAGCACTGAGCATGAGACAGGGCTGCCAGCCCCAAGCAAATACCCCGCAGAGCAACTGCCTGGGCAGGCTCCAGGGCTTGGCTAGCAGCTGAGGAGCGCAGAGGCTTAGCATCTTCATTGCATGGCCTTTAGCCAGGAGATCAAGCCACATCTCCTAAGCTATCTATGGCGGCTCCACTGTCATGTGAGGAGATGCAGCAGGTCACTCGCCCCTCACACCCGCCCCGTTACACCCACTCCCTCTGCCCAGGTAGTTTGGCAGGACACCGCATTTCACCTACGGGTTGTCACCCCAAGGCGGGCTCTCGCAGAGGCAGCCCTCAGCGTGGCTGCAGGGCTTTGGCCTCAGCGCCCGGCCCACCTGCGTAGCATCCGGGTTGCTCTCCACCACAGGGAAGCCGTTGTGGTTGGATGAGGTGTCGCTGAGGATGTCCACAACCGTGCCCACCCGCTCAATCCTCCGCAGGCAGGTGACAGGGGTGCTCATGACCTCCCTGCAGGGAAGGGGTGGCGTTAAACATAGCTCCACAGGGGCACGTCCCAAATTCACTCTCCCACGCACAGGCAGGGCTTGGCTACTGCAGCCCTGACACCGCCTCATCCTGCACAGCCCACCAGGAAGGGATCCCCCAGGAAGGGATCCCCAGGGAAGGGATTCATGGTGGCCCGTGCCCCCAAATGGGGAAGGGGCTGGCCTGGTGGCACTGCAGGTCAGCAGGCACCGCAATCACCAGCTCTTTTTCTAGCTCAGAGCACTGCCCTGGTCAGAGGTGCCCATAGCCCTCCAAGGGCAGAGCCGCACATGTCCCCCAGGCCACCTACCTGGCTGTGAGGGAGTGAGATGTCACTGGCGCCTCCCAGTGCAGGAAGGGCACGCTCTGCAGCTGGATGTGCATGTCGTAGAGGCCCTGCAAAGCAAGGACAGACCATCAGGAGTGTTCTGACAGACATGTGAAAAGTAGACAACCAGACGGCAGCCCCCCACCACAAGGGACCACGCTTGTCACGACACCCTGGTGCCAGCTTCTGCAATCACAACCTGACCCACAGTCTCTCTTCTCCCTCCTAGGCTCCCCATATCTCTTCCAACATCCCCAACTTTAACCCACAACCTCCTTACAGACCTGCCTAAATCTTCACCTATAGCCTGTTACCTGGCCCCTCACAGCTCACCAGCGCCCCTGACCTTCACTCGGTCTTTCATCCAGCCCCAGGCTCCCGGCGAGCACGGCCAGCCCTCACCTCCACAAAGTAATCTCCCACGATCTTCGCCGTCATCAGCACCAGCATGATGGGGAAGCCGTAGGTGACATTGCCTGTCGCCTCCATCATGATGACCGTGAGACTCAGCGTCATTCGCACTATCCCACCTGGGGGAGGTGCCAAGGGGGTGAGGGTTAGAGGGGCAGAGAGAGACAGGCCGAGGGGATAGGAGAGTGCCCAAGGCCCCTCCATCTCTGCACAGGGATTTGGGATCACCTGTGCCAACCAGGCAGCAGATCTGGCTGCTCTGAGGATGCAGCTCGTGGCTCTCAGCTTTGGGGGCAGAAACCAGGGCCCTGAGCACCAGCGACCCTCATCCACAGTGAAATAGGGCAGAACGGTGACACCCCAGCCCAAAACGAACCTCAGCCCTGCAGCATCTCCAGCTCTGGAAGCTCTGTGCTGGGCCAGGCATTGCCCTGGGCGAGGACGGGCCCTGCCTAGTGCCCCAGCAGCACTGGGGCTTGGCAGCAGCATTAGGAAGACAACCGCTGGGTCAGCGCAGGACAGGCTACGTCTCAGCACTGCAGCAAGGAACCAGACGCCAGTTTTTCCCTGCTGCCTTTGCTACAATATTTTGCTACAAAGCGGGAGATGGCCAAGACTCCCAGCACGGGACAACTCACCCAACTGCGCGGCAGCTCCCATCAGGGCATATTTCCCAGGGTCGGCCCAGATCTGAGCGCAGGAGAGAGAAGGGGCTGAGTAAGCTGCTGGTTCTGGAGCACCTGGAGATAACCAGGAAAGAGCCCATCCCCAAACCTCCCTCCAGAAGCGCAGGGAAAGCCCAAGGCCTCCTGCACATCCCAGCTGCTGGATGGCCTCTGTCCAAATAGCGCCAAGACTCCCATTTTGGGCTCTTTGCCAGCTCAATTCCTGCTCTCCACACGTGTGGGTGGCCCCATAGCAAGGGAGGAGGGCCACATCTCCCACCCAGCAACCCTTCCCACAAAACACTCACTGAGCCCTTGGTCAGGTAGGCCAGGGAGATGCCAAAGAGCCTCCCCCAGGCAGCGCCGATAAGCAGGGAAGGGATGAAGACGCCTGCGGACACCGTGAGGCCGTACGTCCAGCACGCCAGGAAGAAATACATCAGCGTGAACATGCCCAAGGTCATGGGATTGTAGGAGCCTGCAGAAGGGGAGAGAAGGAGAAGTCAGTTCTCATCCACTAGTGCTCTGACAGCCCAAGGGATCCTGAGCGAAGCTGCAGCCACCCATGCATGGGCAAAAGGCAGCAGCAGCCCCGCAACACCCTCCTTATCCTGCAGCTCCCATAGTGCCACCCAAGACCCTCTATGGCAGGACTCAGCCCACTACTGTTTTAGGACTGCCAAGCAGTCCAGTCTCTAGTTTGAACGTGTCCTTCATGGTCTCCCCTCGATCAAAGCACTGAGCCAGGAAAGAGCTTGAGACAAGCCCAACAGTGCAGGGAGCAGCCCCAGGACACAGGGCAGTTGTCACTGTGTAAAACAGCTCAGCTGCAGTTCTGAGCCACGAGTCTATAAATGCAGAGGGGTCCATCTGCTGCTGATGTACAGGCTGGCACAAAACACAGCCTGCCAGCCCAGGAGGCAGAGCACACACCAGCGTCCCACAGGCTCTGAGGGAAATTGAAGCTTGGACACGGTTCCCCGGCCTATCAGAAGCTAAATCCGATTTCCTCGAGCAAATCCAAGCCCCAAAATCCATCCTCGCAGCCTGCCCAGATGGCAAAGTCATTTGTTGGCAAGAGGTCTTGCTAAGTAAGGAAACATCCAGTGATGTTTCCAGGACAGATTCCAGTTGCTCCCATGCAACTCAAACCGAGTCCTTGTCCAGAGGCCCTTCCAGGACTCCAGCCCTTGGGCTGAGCTCGCAAAGCAGCGCTGCGTGTGGCAGCTGCCTTCCTCCCCGTTTGCTTCCTACTCCTCCCAGCACAGCACTTTGCCGGATCCCACTGCACTCTCACAGGGCTGCATCAACCTCATCCCACAGGCAAAGAGCCAAGAGGGAACCGGTCAGCCAGTGTGCTCGGGCATAGCCCTGCTCTGCCCAAACCCGAGGGCCCGCGGACCTGGAGGGTCGTGGAAGAGGTTGACGACGCCTTCCGCTCTTCTCCGGCGTGTTGAAGAAGGCAGTGGCCATGGAGTTGTACTCGCCATCAGCACAGAACAGCTGAGGGGGAAGGAAAGGGAAGCAGCAGCAGAGGCAGCGCAGAGAGGCTGCCCTGGGGCAGGGAAGGCTGCCAGGCTCGGCAGGGGACAGTGCCAGCAAGAAGGCGATTCCTATGCAGCGAGCGTGCCAGCGTCACCGCGCTTCCACCCAACTGTTTTGCTGTTGAGGCAGAGAAGTGCCAAACTGCAACCAAGGCGAGGTTCACATCTTGGAGCTGGGCGTTACAGGGAGAAGGAAACCGTGGGAAAACTCCAGAATCTGGGACATTCTCACTGGGTCAAGGCACGGGCATTACCATAAAGGAGGAAAAGCAAATGAAACTGGAACAAAACTGTTGTTTCTTTATGTTCCCAGGGCTGGTAGCTTTAGATATTTCTTCACATCGTTAAGTAAAGAGGGGAAGTTAAGGGTTGTAGGGCTTATCTGCACATTTTCCGCACTATCACATCACATCTTCATCCACGGCACAAGCTGCTAGGCTGGCTGGTGACTACACATTTGCCTCTGACCTTGCCAAGCTAAAGTTCAGCTGAAGACATCGCTATCTGCTCTTCCAAAGGTTTCATTTGCATTAGCCAGTTTGGGCTGCTCTGCCGGCCGAGTTCACTGCACATCTGGTGTCCAGCCCTATCTAGGTGGAAACCACTAAATACTATGGGCGGGGCAGGGAGCCAGCAAGGCCGAAGGCCACAAGAACAAGTGAAGTCTCATCTCCATGCTCAGCCCTCAGGCTCAATCAGGGTCTCCCAACTCTGGGTCTCCCAATTCTCCAGCATCTCCTACCTGCAGGGGATAGGCCACAGTGCTCCCCTGGATGGGCTGGCAGTCTCTGGAGCAGTAAATCATGACAAACCCCACGGCCGCTGTCACTGCTGCAACCAGCATGGCCTCAATCACCTGGAGGCAGGGCCGGTGGATGTACCTGGGGAGCAAGCAGAGATGTGAGCCCTGCTCTGCCCCAGCAGCACCAGAAGCACAAGGTGAGGGGCTGCAGGCAAATCCCCCGGGTCCGAGAGAATCGGAGGCCGTGCTAGGAGAAGGAGAGGAGCTGGCAACTCCGGGACAAAATCATTAAAGCCGGTTCTTTGGGAGGCAGAGGGCTCCTCTACCTGCTCTTGGCTGTGCACAAGCCCTGGCTTTGCTGCTAGCCTGGGCTGAGGCACAGAAAGGAAGCAAGTCCATGGCACAGGCAGTGTCCGATGAAATCGCTGAGGGCAGCTGGGGGCCACAGGACAGCTTTGCCCACCCAGCTCCAGCTGAACTGCCCTGCACAGAGCTGGGAGGGCAGAGACTCCCACCACAGTACAGAAAAGGATCCTATATCCAGCTGGCAGACTGGTATCTGGCAGCTCTCAGAGGCCTGGCAGTAACATGGAAGAGTCAGTCTGTGCAGCACTTGCACCTCTTTGGGCCCTCTGGTTGCTACAGGTAGATACTTGCAAGGCCAGAACAAGAGCAGGATGCTGCAAGCCAGCCTTGTTGCAGGCAGCAAGGGGCACGTTGTATCTTGGACTCGGGCTTCCACGGGCTGCCATGTCACACACTGCACACAATGTTACAGCCTGGCTCTGGCTGGAAATGATGCTTCCAAGGAGCACAGAAGGCTCCAGTCAGCCCATTTTCACCCAGTTTAGTCACTGCATATTCTCACCTGATTCGAAACATCGTTAACCAGTAATTCAGGGCATTGAACAGGGCTCCAAGGATCCCGCCTGCAAGGACAAAAAGAGTAAAAACTCAACACACAGGCAAAACTCAGGAACAGAAATGCTGGATTTGCTGAGCAGCTTCATTCTTGATGCCTCCTCACAGCAGCTGCACATAGGGCAGAGGCGGCAGAAAGCAGCCAGCAGCCAAGCCTCAGCAGTCCTGAGGCTGGGCACTGCCAGCTTTGCATGGGCACAGGGAGTACGTGCCCTCCTCTCTCTTTCCATAAGGGCACAGACAGCTCAAGCACTGCAGTTCTCTTAGGTTTTTTCTTCCATTCTAGAGCTTAATGGATTTCCCACTCTCCCCAGGAAAACGGATGCAAAAAGGTCTTTATGTCCAGACAAGCAACAGAGGAAATTATTCAGACGAACTGAATTAAAAGAGCAGAACTCTCTTACCAACTACTCCCATAAATATGAAGATCGGAATTTCCTGGATTGTGTATCCCATTTTCTGGAAGCAAAACAGACACAGGCTTCAGGTCTCCTGGCACATTTGCAACCAGTCACCACCGCGGATGGGCTCAGGCTGACCAGCGAGTGGCCCAGGGAGCTGCCACAGCTCCTCGCCTGGCCACCCGCCAGGCCCGCGATGCCCTCCCAGCGCCCAGCCCGGCAGTGGCTGCAGGGCCACCTCTGCTCGCACTCGCTGGAGCCCAGATTTATCTGGACCCTTTGCTAGGGCGACAAACAGCTTGGCCTTGGACAATGTTATAAGAAGGACTATTGGCCCCAGCTGCCCTAGGTTTCTTCCAAACCCCCCAGAGCACCCCCCAGGGGTAACCTGTGCCATACCTCGTTATCAAACCTGCCAAAGTTGATGAGCCCAGGGCTGGAGAGATCCCAAGCGTTGCCATGGTAAACACTCAGGACAGAGTTCAGAGTGAACGTAGAGATCATGGAGGCAAAGAACTAGAAAAAGATGCAGGTCAGGTCATTGCCAGGCATATCCGGTGCTGCTCCCCTACCACGTACCCTCCTCCTTACCCCAAGCACCCCTTGAGGGCCTTGGGCAGGCGCCGGGGCACTCAGGACGTGGCAGAAGCCACGTTCCTCGAGGGCACCACGCTGTGGAGTCTACAGCAACCATGGGCTCACTCCCTCCTTTTGTCTCTCCACTGCTCTGCAGCACAGCCCAAAGCAGCTCCCTTGGAAAGGGGTCAGGAGCCTCGGGAACAGAGATCCGGCTCGGTCAGGCCCAAATTCAGCCCAAGGGGACTAGAAGGCAGAAGGGGATTTGGGATGCCCTGCTCCATAGGATGCATTAGATGGTCACCAGGCTGGGGCAGGGATGCAATGAAGCACATAGCTGTCGTTGCATCCAATCAAGGGCCCAACTTCTGCTAAACAGCTCAGGCCTTCCTGAAGGCCACCACAATGCAGAGATCTTGTAGGAACAGAGCTCTAAGGCTTTGGGGGCAGAAGAAAATGCCAGCCTGGAGATTTGCAGTGGCGTCAGGAGGCCCTCAAGTGTGTTCCAGGGAGCCATGGGGTTCTCTGGCATGGACACCCAGAGCCCCTAGTTTACTGCTTTTGATTACCAGCACTTACAATTCTCCATGTCAGGAACTGGTTCCAAAATGAAGCCCCTTCCTCCAAGCTGAAGAGGACCCCCCCTGCAAACGCAAGACACAAGCACCTTTGCGACGGGTGCACGCCAGGGCCCCTTGGCTCACAGCACTGGCCAAGGCAGCTGCAGCCACCCCAGCCCATGCACCCCACGCTGTCCCAGACGTCACCAGCTCCAGCAAAGGGACCTGCATCCAGCTGAGCCCACCCTGCCATCAGGGATGCACTACTGATCATGACGAAGCCCTGTCACTGTCCCCCTCCATACCAAGGAAGGGACATTTGACAACAGGGACAGACAAACCCTCTCTCTTCCCAAGACCTGCATTGTGGGGCAGTACAGCTCATAGTGGTGTCAGGCACAGCAACTGCACAGGCAGTGCGGAACAACTGCTTCTCTTCCCAGTCTTGCCAGACCTGGAACTGTCAGGACGGCAACGCACCAGTTTCAGTCACTTGTGCACAAGTCTTTGTCTCAGAGAGCTCTCCTGACCCTGCTCCCTCCTTCTAACCTCCTCAGGAAAATGACCAGCTCTCCCAGATCCCACCAGATACCTTTTCTATGAAAATGCTCTTCCTGTCTGTACTGAGAGGGTGACAGCAGGATGCTCTGTAATAGACCCAGGTTCCTGCAATTCTCTAAGCAGATTCTTACAGCTACCCCATGCAAGTGGGAGCCACCTCCTGATGAGACCTGCACCCAAGCACCATTCAGTATTAGGACAATGGAGACACATACCCACAGGGGCACCAAATGCAGCTGAGACACCAGCAGCAGCTCCAGCTGAGACAAAGTCCCTCTTTTCCGTGTCTCTGCGGAAGTACTCGAAGATCTGAAACACAGATCAAAGCACAGGCGGGTTCAGGGCAGGCCAAAGGCATAAGCTCAGAGGAAGAGGCAGGCTGCTAGGCAGAGCTAGCTGGGTCACTTCCCTGTTCCCAAGGTTTTTCAGTGGGGTTATGAGCTCAGGTCCAAGGATGTGGGTAGGCTGCATGATCCCAAGGAGCAGCCAAGTTTGGGCATTGATGGTGGCACAGAAAGAGATTCAGATAGTGCTGGTGGGAGACCAGAGCTCCCTTTCAACACCCTAGCGCCTTCCCAAAGGGGTCAGAGCTCCAGGGCCCCAAGCCAGGCTGCAGCATCACCGAGCTGAGTTCTCCAGCAAGCCAACCAGGTTATATGCACTGCTGGCCCAGAGCCATCCTTCCTGAAGCAGCTGCCACCCAGCTCACTGCTGAACACGGGTAGGTCTCAGTTTGTCATGGAGAGTGGCCAGTCAATGCTCACTTATGTTGGCATCAGAACCGGCTACACAGATGGAAAACTGCTCCACCAAGCTGCCCTGCTCCTAGGTGCAGAGCTCTGCCCATTCCTCCTTTCCAGAGCTCACACCTCTCCGGTCTTTTAGGTGCCATCACTTGATGGGTCCTAAACCACAGCAGAGGTGAAGGCCCCTTTGCTGGAGCTCACAAGAACAGTTGGAGCCTTGCAGTATTCCAGCCCCTGGGAAACTCCAGAGAGGAGAGCAGTGGCAGTGGGAGCAGCCGCAGCAGGACAGCTCATCTGCTCTTGTAGACCCACCTTGAAGTCTCGCTTCAAGGACGTGGATCTTCCTTGTGAAATCCCAGCTGCAATCACCGCCCCCGAGTGAATCATAGGTCCTTCCTATGGAGAGGAAAACAGAGTCAGACTGGAGAAGGAGGAAGTCCTGGCTTTTCCAGGCCCTGTGGGGAGTTTTGAATGCTGCTCACCAAGCCACAGCTCTGAAGAAGCCGGAGGACAGCGTTCAGCCACCCTGCAGCAAGCTAGACCTGTACCAGCTCTGTCTACACAGCCCCAGCCCAAGAGGATTTCCTTCCAGGAAACAGACCTTGCATTTTCCCCCTACTACTACTTTCTAGGCGCAACTCCTTCCTGTGGCCACCTTCTTCTCACTCGCAGACAGGGTAGGGGATTACCAGGGCTGGTTTCTACAAATTCAGGAGATTTCTCAAGCAGGCTAAGACCCTAGCAGGCCAGCAAGATCCCAGCAAGGCACGCCAGGTTCTCCTATCCTCCATGTCAGGGCAGAGCCACATGGATGGCCACAGACATCTCCGTTCCCCAGATCCAGACACGCTGCAGCTGCCTGGGCCACCAGAATAGCGAGTGGAACTGGGAAGTCCCTGCGGGGCCACCAGCCTCCCAGCCCCAGCACAGAGCCAGCGACACAAGCTGAAGCACACGTGCCCTGCGGCGGGTCCCAGCACAGCAGCAGGGAGCTGAGGAGCCCTTTGCACAACTCACCTTTCCAACAGCCAGGCCTCCGACCACCGAGAGGATCACTCCACAGACTTTGATCACCAGGGTCTGCAAAAGAGTGAGACACACAGGGCACACTGTAAAGGCAGCAGAAACACCATATGCCGCTGCACTGCGACACTAGAACATGCACAGGATGGATTGCAGCAGCCATGGGGGATACACAGACCCAAACAGCCAAAAGCACAGGAGGCAGAAACCCAGGAAACTTCCAATTCTCAGCCCCGCGTCCATGCCTGTTGTGACAGCAGGGCTGGCCAATATTCCCACCCACAATTTTCTTGGTCAGGCCCTGTCCAGAGTGAAAAACCCCCAAAGTCTCTCTTCCAGCTACTGCCTGGCACCGAGCACAAGGGCTGCAGACACCAGCACAGCAAATTAAAGATTTCCCTGGGCGGCACAGGAATGAACAGCTACAGATGAGGGCAGTGCAGGAGGGCTGCCCTCACTGGGAGCCCAGGCCAGCTCCCATCCCGGCCTTAGCATGAACAGGGAAAACCACAGGGTGCAGGGACACACGCACAGTCCATCCAAGCAGCAGCACACCCAGAACACACACGTCTTCCAAGCTTGCACATCCTACCTTCAGCCGGACAACGTGTGGGATCTTCACACCATTGAGATAGCACTTGATCTGGGGAATGCCACTGCCGGCTGCTACAGGCTGGGGACACAGAGAGACCATTAGTGGCTGCTAAGTACAGGCCAGTGCACTAGAGACCTGCTGGTCACCTTGTCCCATCCCTCAGCATAGAGCACACCATACACTTTCTCAGGGAGGGTAAGAGACAAGGCCAAAGCCTAAAGGCTTCGGAGATGGGCTTGAGGGAGAGGATCCCACCACGCTTCTGCAGACATGCTTTCTTTAAGGGCAAACACTGCAGGGATAAGGGGTCTGCTGGGCTCCTGCAGGACACCAGAGCATTCCCACCATTGCTACTCCCACTATCCCACTACAGTGCCAGGGCAAGAGGCTCAGCGCTGTAGAAGAGTTGCACTTGACGGAAGGAAGAGATTTGCAAGAGAGCAAGGGCAAAGCTGAGTCAACATCATCTTCCTTGCAAAGTGGCTCCACATAAAGCAATCCTCCATATGACTATAACCTGCCTCCAGATATCATCAGCTGCTTGCCAAGTTCTTATGGAATGTGTCTCTGAGGCGCTTTACCAGCTTTTCTCTGCAAACGCTCACGCACACGTGAAGCAAAGAGCCTGGGCCAGGTCAAAGGGTTGTGTAAATGGACACAGTTCAAGGGCTGTGCCTACTTCCAAGGCTGGAGCACACCTCCCCACCACCACCTTTGCCCCAAGCTGCTGGGGCTGCAAATGAAGGGCAGCATGTCCTGACAGTTCAGTACCCGAGGACAAACTTTACACCAGAACCGGAGCCATTTCCCTGCCAACACCAAGGAACTGGAGGTAAGAGCCAAAACAGCAGAATGCTGTTGGTGTTGCACATACCTGCATGTGTACCCAAAGAGACTGACCCACACAGTTCATAAACCCATTTCCAGTGCAGCACTCTCTCCTACCAGATTTGGACCCTGGCTGGGACATGAACCTGCTCCCTACGCCGCAGGCAGAGCGCAGGGCAGAAGACACGGGGTACCCCCACACCAGCCACCTCTGAACTCTTACCTCTATGAATGCAACGATAACGGAGCCCACCATCACCACGCTGGCATTCAGGGTTGCCCAGAGCAATAAGGAGAAGGACAGGCCCCCTTTCTCTGTGAACTTGTCAATGTCTGCAGAGATGGCTTAAGGAAAGGGAGGTATCAGCTGGGTAACATCTCTCCCATCACAATGGGACATCATCAAGGTACTTCTCAGGCTGCAGCAGACAGTAGATAAGGTATCAGCTGGGTAACATCTCTCCCACCGCAATGGGACATCATCAAGGTGCTTCTCAGACTGCAGCACAGCGGATCCTGCATGTGCACCATGGGGTCTCTTCTGCCCCTGGGGTGCCCAGACACAGGTCAGCACTGCCGAGCTGTTAGCCCCTGCACAGCAGAACCTGACCCACACTGGTGTTACCAAACCCATGCAGAAAAGCACTTCCATCTCCCCAACATTTCTTTCACAGCCACCAGGAGCAGCAGAGGACCAAGACATCTCTGCAGCAGATCACACAGCTCCTACAACACAGGTAGGTAGAGGCCATGGCTTTGTGCTCCCTGCTGCTCCACATCCCTGTACTGGAAGGATACTGTCCTTCACCACACGGTACTTCAGCCCAGCCAGGTTCTCCACCACAATGTCAATGAAGCAGGCGACGAGACCGGTGAGGATCCCAATCATGGCACAGATGACCCAGCGCTTGATCTCCACTGTCCGGAATGCCTGAGACACAGAGAGCCGTAAGACCCTGCTGCCACGCAGCCTGGCACGCCAGCCAGGGCACAGAGTCCCCACCCAGAGTGTCAAGTGCAATTCAAACCACCTAGCAACCTTCCCCACCATGAGCATGATCTTGCAGCATGGAGGAGCCCATCAGCTGCTCAGGAAGCAGCCAGGCAGCAGAGAAACAGCTTCTTGTGGTTTCATTTCAGCAGGGTCATCTTGTCAGGGGGCTGGTTAGGATGTGTGAGCAACCGGGTGGTGGCCAGACTCACCGCATGGTTTATCCTCCTCTCCTCCTCCAGGAACAGCTGGTTTTCACTGTTGTCATAGTCCAGGCTCTAGTTTAAAAAGGGAGATGTCATCAGTGTCTAATGCAAGGAATACATCTGTGCTAGAGGAAGGCTAAATTCAGAGCCCCATCCCTGCCCCTCTGCATACCCCTACTCCAGTTCTTTTTCTTCCCTTGATCCTTCCCTTCCAAAATCTCTCTGAGGGCAAACAGGGATCTTTTAGAGCACTTCACACCAGCTTGGCAGTTGTAAGCTACCACGCAGGCCACCATGCACTCTGTCACATGTTGCCTCCCAGAGGGCAGGTCCCAAGGGGCAGGAGGCAGAGAACCAGGAACTCACCTCATACTTGAGCGACAGCAGTTTCTCATTGTGGGGGATCTCATTGGGATACTGCCGAGGGAGCTCTGTTTCCTAGAGGACAACGATATCTAGGTTAGGAGAGCCAGGGCCAACCTCCAGATGATCCTCCCCTTGCACAGGGCTGGTCACCTGCTCCAGTGCTGGAGAAGGTCCCTGATTATTTGAAAGTCGAAAGACACTCAGTCACCAGTTTCTGCAGAGCAGCTTTTAAGTGCAAACACTGTTGAAGCACGCGTGTTGGCTGGGCACATTAGCCCCTTGGAAAACCACATCCAGCCTCTCCCATTTACAGAGGACGCCCTAACAGAAGTCACTGTGCACTTCCCTCGCTAAGAGCAGGAGGTGGGAAGGAAGGGAGAAGGTGGCCAGGAGGAAGCAGCCTGTGATCAGAGCTGGCCTGGCAGTGAGCTGCCATTGCCCTGGGCAGCCCCGTACACCTCCGGGGATCTGCCTCCCACCTCGGCACCACCCATCCCCACGGCACTCCGGAGGCAGGGTCCCAAAGAGCACATCGCCAGCTCCCAAACTGCAGCCATTTCTGCATCCCCGCCTTTCTCTGGCTGTGTTACTTCCTGACACCAAGGCAGGAGCACCATAGCACTAGGACCGCATTAACAGTCAGGACAGGCAGGGAGCACTGCAAGCACACAGGCCCCGGCTCCTGGTGGAGCGTCACCCCAGATCCTGCTCCCCCACCAGCCCCACATTGGTCGCAGTTTTAGACTGCCTGGTTTAAGCTTTCACATGTGCAGTCAGCCCTCAGCAGCTTCCTCCCCAGCTCTGGAGCAGGACACTGTGGTCACATGTAAGGCGGAGTGGGGAATGGGCGCAGGTTTTGCACAGTCAGGTACCGAACGCTGCCCTTTCCATAAATTGCTGTCCTGGTGTAATCTCCGAGTTACTCCATGCTCCCAGCGGAGGGCAACATTTCACCTCTGCAGGAAATTCCTTGAGCCTCAGGCAAGGAGCTATTTCAAGCAGGTCTGCATTTTTGGGCAGAAATCAAATTCTATTTTCCAACTGTCTTCAATCATGCAACCTTCTCCTAGCTCTGAATTAGGGCATTTGCCAAGGCAGCAGGAGAGGCCCCAGCCGCACTAGCATAATGTGCTCTGCTCCAGTCACTGCGTTACAGCTACAGCCAAAGCAGATCCAGCCTTTTCTCCCAGACGCTGAACAAAGGCCTGGTTTATCCCATGTCAAGATTTCCACTAGAAATATTCAACAAAATCCTCCTTCTTGTTTGTGCTACCAACAGTTCCAGAACTGAGGAAGGAACATATGTGGAAAAAAAGATTTTCAGGCATGTGTCACGGTGGGGAATAACTTAAAACCTGAGCATTTCCACAAGAACAAAGTGTCCTGACTGCTGCTTGCCCCATTCCAGCAGCCTGGGCATCCCTCTCTAGCTGCAGACACAGTAAATACAGACCTGCACAGCCCCCAGCCTCCTCCTGCGCGGTGGGCACAGACACAGCGGGGTTTGCTAAGTGAGCACAGCTCCTGCACAAACCCTGGGTGTAGAGATCCATAAAGGAGCCCGTGTGCTTGCCCAGGATGAACGTGGCTGTTCTCTCCCTTGCCTCTGCTGAGCAGGGAGTCTCAAGAGGTCACACTGCAGTGAGGACATCGCCCATCATCCCACCCATTTGCACATCCAAGGGGGTCAGCAGACCCTGGGGCAGGACAAGACCGTAGTGCACAGGCAGCACCTAGCCCCGTCGTGCCAGGTACGGCTGCCCAGCACAGCAACGAGCAAAGTGGCTCGGCACACGTGGAGAGCACCTGCGTCCTGGCAGAGCTCACTGCAGCCATTTCCTAACTGCACTGCAGCCCCAGGCCCCCATCAAGCGTCAGGTAGGAGCAGCCACAGCTCAGTCAAACAGCACTTTCCACCGGATGAGTCTCGGATTTGGAGATGACAGCAAGCAGAAAGCTCTAAGTTGCTCAACTCTCAGACAAGTGCAACACAAGGAGCTCCATGAGAACACCCTGACATATTCCAGGAGGTCCCATGGCCCAGGACTTTCCACTTGACACTGCTGCAAGAGGAACTTCCCCACAGGGACAGGTCGCTGCTGCTGGCCTGGAAAAGCACAGGGGAACCGGATGATCTCAGGCCAGCAGTACTGCCAAGGTGAGCCCAGGAAGGTCAAGACTCCCCATAGCAGCCCCAGGGGAAGTGCTGGCCGGTCTCCCAGCACACGAGAGCCTCCCTGGCCACCCGCACTCCACCTACAGTGACAATCCCTTTGGTGTCTACTGAGGTTGGCTGGATGAAAACAGAGGGGAAGCAAGAAAACAGAGAGGGCAGAGCCCAACACAAAGTGCAGGGAAGAAGAGAGACCAAGGCAGCCTGTGCTTAGTCCCCAGATGAGTCTTCAGTAGCTTCTGAGCCTTCATTTTTGGCTTCAGAGCTCCAAGTGCCTTTCAAACCAGAATAAGCCCTCTGGGGTTAAATGGGGCTTTGTGCTTCTGGCCACTACTTCTCTTCTGTTCTCTCCTGCCACTGCAGTGCTCAGCCCAGCAAGGTCTCTGGATGATGCCACAACCACTCAGCCACAGTGGGCACAAGCACTCAGCCTTGAACTGGTGGGAGGAAATACCACACGGCCACACAGGAGCCCTTGTGGGGCACATCGGGGAAGTGGGGAGCAAGAGCAGCACTTTGTGCCATCGATGGAAGAAGGCAAGTGGCCTATGAGTGTTATTTCACAGCAGGAAAACAGCACCTGCCAGCCCCTTCTGTGCCACTCACCAGCTCATGGACGTCCTCATTGAGATCCACATTGCTCAGCTGCCCAATGCGCAAGAAGGAGGAAGGAGTGAACTAAGAAGAGAAGGGAAAACGAGGTCAATTCATGGATGCACCATGAGCACACGACTCGGGGAGTCTCTGTGAGAGGAAGGTGCGCGGCAGCTGGCTGGGGGACACGTGGGACTCGCGTGCTCCCACCTCGCTCCACCGGGCTGTCCTCGGCCGGAGGGGCGGCACATGGGACCAGCTGCTCCTGGAGGACACACCAAGGAGCCTATGGACTGTGCAAAGCTCCCCAGAGGGCTGCACGGGACAGCAGCAGTCTACCAGGGTTTGTGCAAGCCCTTGCAACCTCCGAGGTGGAGAGCCAGCCTGGCCCGGGAAGGCACCAGCTGGCAGCAGCTTACTGGGGCCAGCAAGTGGAGGTCCTGCGAGCTGGCGAGTCCACACAACCTCCTGCCTGGGGACACAGCACCTCGGTGCGGCAGCCGCGCAGTCAGCCAAGTGACCCATGCCAAGTGGCACGTTTCACGCTCCCTTGGAAAGCAGCCTGCTTAATTCAGAGCTAAAAGGCTACACTGCTCCAAAGCGAGCCTGGACTCCTTGGGCCGAAGCCCTCCAGAGGCCAGAACCAAGAGGCTGCTCCCATCTGCTGCAAACGCGAGTCGGTCACATCTCACCTTCCAGATGTTGCCTTGTGCTTCCCTCAGGCAGGACCCTACGCGCACACGTACAGACACACACAGAGCTGCTCTGCTGCAAGGGAGGCTCCACCCAGCTCTCCAAACCCAGCCATGCTGGAAGTTGCTCTACAACTGGACAGACTTTCAGCTTCTGCCCGTAACTGCTGGAACAGAGCGGGCTATGGCAGAAGGGACAAGAGGACATGGATGCACCCTGTCCAGCTCCATCTCCAGAGCTGGAGCACTGGGAACCACAGCTGGCTTGGGAAGCAGTTCCAGGCTGGGGAGTGTTTCCTGCACACGGCTTAGAGCTGCATCTGCAGCCTGGCTTGCCCTTCAATCCAGGCAGGGTCTTGTTCTCTACAGCTGCCTACTGGGATGCTGTTCCCATCAACAGGGTCCTCACCCCCACTTAATGTGGAGAGCAAGAGAGAGGTGTGGAAAAATCAGGGATCCCAGGAGTGTCAGGTTCTGCCTCTCCATCATCTTCCCCTGCCACATCTTCCTGCCCTGGCCAGGAGCTGCTTGAGGTGTCTGGAGAGCAGAAATATCTCCATACTGGAAGAGGCCTCTCTCCAGGTCACCAGCACAACCCCCAAACCACTGGGGCTATTTCCTCAGCGTGTAAACCAGCACAGCAAACAGGGGCAGCCCCCGGCACGCTTTGCTCTGCCACTCAGTCTGCAGGAGCGGTTCCCGGCCAGGGCAGAGCCTCAGCACTTGCATCTCGCTCAAATATCTCGGCACATCGGGCCCACAGTGACGTCTGGGCTGGCTGCCAGTGAAACACACACAAGAGGAAGCAGAGCATGTTGTTCCAGTGCAGACTCAGAGACACCAGTGAATTTTGAAGATAGGGGAGGCGAAGGGGGGGTGGAAAAAGACTTTACTGATGAGCTTCCACCAAAAGGAGAACCTGTCTTTCCAGTGAGAAGGCACTCGGGGCTGTTACTGGCAGCGTAATTGCATAACACCAGAGTTTTTCACTATTTTGGGTTCTTCTTTTAGCTCCCAGCCAACAGAGGCAATGACCTGGGCTACGATTGAGCCTGGCTGCAGCTGGGCAGGTCCACGAGCAGCCCCACCAAAACCAGCGCTCCAGCAGCCCAGCTGCTCTCTGATTCTGCTTCCCTCCGTGCCACCGTTGTGAAACATGGGGACGCGCAAGGCCGTGAAAGCAGAGCCATCTTAAACACCATTTCTCAACATTAAGATCTTCCTCTCTGTGTCTCTCTTCAAACTAGAGGACAAATGCGCACCTGCAAGCAATAGCAGGGTTCATGAGGCTGAGAGGTGCCGTGACAGCAGCCCCAGATCAATCCCTGCTGCTTTAATCCCCACACAGATCCCGGCTGGAACGCGCAGGCTGCAGCACCGGGGCCGCACACGTCACTGCTCATGAAGAATATCCTTTGTGCTCGCAGCCTGACCTATTTCCCATTTCTCCATCTGTTTCAAGTTCTCCTTTGCACTCTGACCAGCCGCTGGGTTTTGCTCCAGCTCTCAGGTTCACAGCGATGTCCTTCCAACCTCAGCAGCCTGACCCACCACGGGCCCGGCCATCCGCAGACCGCCCAGCCCGGCGTGACCTGCCCTGCCTGCATGGAAGACACCACGGGGCCACAGGTCTAAAGAACAACAGAGCTTCCCACACAGAGGCCAAACACGAGATGCTCCAAGGAAAGTGTCCAACCCTAAATTTGAGGCATAGGTTTCCTCAGAGCAGGCTGACCTTTGGTTCTGACCCATCATGGTTCTACAAACCCCCTCTAAAGGAGCAGGTTTGGAAGAGATGCCCAGGCTTGCCCAGAGATTGCTGCTGTTAATGCTCTTCAAATGCTTCTCCCTTCCCGAGCTCATGCCTTGTTGGAGCTGCAGCATCCCATGCACTGAGCTCGCTTAACGTGGCTTACACCATCGCACTTCCCGTCACCCCTTCCACCCTCTTCCCACTACCACGAAGCTGAAGACCAACCTGAGGGGACAATATCTCGCTTCACCCTGGCAATTAGCCACACGGCAAACGCTGCTCAGCCCAGCAAAGGATGGAAGGAGCCACTCGTGGCACCAGCGTGGCCTCCCATGTGCCACACACATACAGAGCTGTCGCCTCCACAAGCAGACAGGGGAGCAAAGAGGTTTCAAATAAATGCTGAATCAACAGCTAGAATCTGCCTATCCTAAAAACTCATGAAGAATTGCAGTAAGAAAGATCTAGCTAGCGATCTGCAACACCAGGTTCTGCTTACAGCCGCGAATGATCATCCAGTGACCAGACCGCGACAGTTTAGCCTTGGTCCCAGAGCTGCTTTGGAGGTAACAGAAGCACTGGCAGGGGCAGGAGACCCAGCACAGCTGTCAGGGTCCCAGGGCTTGGCATTAAGTGCTCACACAAGCCACAGGACCTAGCTTAAGCAAGCATAACTGGCCAGTATTTAGCAAATTTGATAAGCCACACCACTGTGCTTGATACTGGGTATGCTCTGCTTTGAAGCAGACCAACAACAAAGCAAGCCCAGTCTGAGAACAGTGGAGCAACTCCAATCAAGGCTATCTAAAACACTTGTGGAACAAACACCCACTGTGTACACAGCAAACTTGCCAACTTTGCTCTGAAGAACCATAAATAGGGACAATTTGACTCAACTTCACAGCTGATTTCCACGTGGATGAGCCAACAAGGCTGTTCCCTGCAGGACATCATCACCCACACCCAGGTCTAGAGAGAAGATGCCCTCCCAGGCTCCCTGCCTTATTGCCACCCTGCTACACACTGTGGATTCTGGAACCACGTGACTTTCTGTGATCAGGGAGATGAGGAACAAACCACTGCTAGAGCCCATACCACACCACAGTGCACAAGGAAGGAGAGAGGGGAAGGTTTCCAGCGCTCAGGCCAAGCACGTGTTTAACAGTGGGGAGCAGGGGAAGCCTCATCCCCGGGAACAGCGACGTGTGGGACAGCCAAGCTGTGGCTCTTGCATCAGCTCCTTTCCCCCCACGCAAGCACCGCTGCGATGGGCTTCAAGCAGCCATCCTGGAGGAAAACAAAGCACTCAAACACCCCCAAAACACACCAGATTCCCCACAGAGGCACCAGGGAGATGAGACCCCTCATCTCTGGGCTCATAGGGGAGGGAGAAAATACCCAGGCTCTCACCACGTGGCTCTGATTTGCTGTCAGACTCATGCCAATGCACACAGGCCTGTGTGAAAGCAGGGGCTCTCCTTGCCCTTCAACCCAGGAGCCCCTTCTCAACCACGAGGCTCAGCGCACAGCTTGCCCTCCAGTGCCCTGCTTTTCTCCAGGCTGCTTTTCCCAGGTGTTGTCTTCTCCTGTGCTCCTCTGTGGAGCAGCAGCTCAAGGTTACAGCCCTGCTCAGCATCGCTGCTCCCCAGCACGATGGGGACACAAAGCAGCAGCCACCAGACTGGCGAGAACAGCTCAGGGAAGCTCCTGCCATCGCCCAAGGCCATCTGCTTGCCAAGGAAGTTGGCTCGAAGCCTGGCTCTCCCCACAGCACACGGGCGAGGACACATCTTGCGCTGGCAGCCATGGGATGCACCAGCCTGGAACCAGCCACCTCTCCCACCACCGCTCCTGCCCAACATCACCTAATTGCAGGAGACAGGAAAACCCACCTAGCCCCAAGGGCAGCATTTTTTTTTTTAATGCAAGTAACAGGAAATAATAAGATAACACGTACAGAATAAAAATAATCCAGTAGCAGCTCACACATCTGAGCCTCCATCAGTTTCACAACCCCTCCACAGCGGGTCAAGTGCACATTACTCAGTTTCATAAATCCCCAATCGATGCAGCCCTTTTCAGGCATCTCTGGAACATAAGCACCACACCAATTTCAAAATCTCCTCACAAGGTATTTTGGCCCAAATACATCCATCATGGGTAGTGAAGGAAATGTCTTTTTTTTTCCTCCCTAAAAAACCCCTTAAACTAATGATGAGACTTGGCTGCTCTTACTAATATCACCCCACCTGCTTCTCAGGCAGGGAATCAATACAGAGCACACAACACTCAGCAACACAGCAGCAGGGCAGCCCACGGGCTCAGCCACTCGCCAGCCTCGCAGTCCTGGATAGGCAGCTTCCCGCTTCCCGACATGGTCAGGATGGGCCCTGCAGACACCACAAGGCCCCGATGAGAGGGGAAGTCCCGTGCAGCTCCAGAGCGGGGCTCAACTCCCCTGCGGGGAGCCTGGCGAACACAGCGCCCGAACAAAGCAAGTCCTGGGCCGCAATTCTGTAGCATCCCCCTGTAATCCTGTTTTATACAGGAAAATAGTCTGTTTTGACCCCCCGCCCACACATTCTCAGTCTCTTACACCAGTTAACTAATGACCCATGTTTCCTTCTGTCATTTTAAGATCACTTTCATTTCCACTAAATGAGCATGTGAGAAGAGCAAAGAGAGCTCCGTGGTGAGATTTCTAATCTTTGACAATAGCCCCCGTTCATCAGTCTTGGCAGAGAGACCGGGGCCGTTCAGCTCGCGGGCAGGGGCCCTGTTGGCACTTTTCGGCCCCCAGCCGTGTCCCTGGGCTGGGGCACTGCCTTCCTTCACGGTGTAAGGGGGCTGCTGACAGCTATCCAGACACAGCAAGGTTTTCAGGGACCCCATCCCTTCCTTACACATGTTCAGGTTGCCTGAGAGTCTGAATAGCGGCAAGCAGGGCACAGGGCTCCATGGAGCTACACAGCGTTTAGGTCACAGGACTGCTGTGCTGGAGAAGCAGCCAGGCTGCCCTAAGTGCTCTAAATGCCTCAGGCACTACCAGGTTGGGGCTGCTGCCTGGAAGCAAGTGCTGTCTGCCCAGGTGTCCAGCATGGGCACAACTGGCACCTGACCCAGACTGTGACAGCAAACACGCAGGCAGATCAGTGGGGACAAGTCTCTCACAGCACAGCACTGCGCCCTATTCCGCAGGAGGGTGCAGGCAGGGCCAGCAGCAAAGTCACCTTCCTGAAGACCTACAGCCACAAGATCTAGTTAATCCCATTTTTAACACTCTGGCATTTCTGAAACCTGTAAAACTCACCACATTATCCTTAAAGACAACACGTCCTGTAAAGGTATCAGGTCCTGTTGTACCAATTTTAAAGATTACTTTTTACATCAAAACAGTTGTAACAGTGCAGCCAGCTCTTTGCAGCCAGCCATACCCACCTGGTAGAGCTGAATTAGAAGCTTCCAGCCTAATGAGTTTGCATTTCCCTCTAATTAATGTGCTGTTCTGACTTGCCCAGGAATAAGGCAGCACAGACAGCACATGCGCTCACAGCTGCCAAAGGCTGGGCTGGCACTCTCATCTGTTCAAGTCTCCCAGCAAACTTTTTACGGGAAGCTCGAGCACATTGTTTGGAGACACAGCCCATCTCCCACCTGGCGCTCACACATCCCATGGCCCCAGTCTAACGCCCCCTTCCACAGCTGGCCCAAACTACAGCCCCTGCCCAGGCACCATGGGCCGGGCAAGGCCCTCCAGGTGCCCCTTGGCCTTTGCAACACACACCAAGTGCCTCTGCAAGAGACACACCGAGATTCAGGTAATCACCTAATGCATAGAGCAGAGCCAGCCCCGCAGAGCACAGGCAGCAGCCTCGAGTTACACCAGAGAGGAGCCATGAAATGAAGTTTATTGTTCAAAATTAAGCTGTTAAGACAAAGCTGGCATCCCTGCATTTATAGCACGAGGGTTTAGCAACACAGACCCTTGCACACTGCACTGTACCAAGCACAGCAGTGCAGACACGCCTAATGCATAGAGCAGAGCCAGCCCCGCAGAGCACAGGCAGCAGCCTCGAGTTACACCAGAGAGGAGCCATGAAATGAAGTTTATTGTTCAAAATTAAGCTGTTAAGACAAAGCTGGCATCCCTGCATTTATAGCACGAGGGTTTAGCAACACAGACCCTTGCACACTGCACTGTACCAAGCACAGCAGTGCAGACACGGACTGACTGGATGCTCCAGGGTGTAAAGACTGATGGGTACCAGAACAGCCGCTCACCAGGCGGGGTCCGCAGCCCCA